GCTGTGGTGTGAGCAGATCGCAAATCTCGCGCATGCGTCGTGGAAATCTATAAGGAATTCTCGTTCTGGCCTACAAGGAAGAAAAGAAATAGTCGAATAAACTCGTTATTTTTGTTTGTTTTTTCGCACAAAAAGTATTCGCGTCGCTTGATAAACATATAGTTGAGCCACGGTAGTCACTTGGGATATTTAAACATTTTCTTCATTGACTTTCTGGGCCGTCAAGAGGCAGTCCCTTAGGAGCCAATGTGGTAGTTATACAGCTCTCAAATTTAATAAAAAATATCTTCATTTGTGTTCCGAAGACGAACGAAGGTCTTACGGGGTTGGTACAGCATGGGGGTGAGTAATTAATGACTTAATTTTCATTTTTGGGTGAACTAACCCTTTAATGAACGAGTAAAATGGATGCTATCAAAGTTCTTCCAAAAAAAAAAAAAAAAAAAAAAGAGAATTAAAACAACCGCCACTGCCAGCCATTACTAAAACAAGATACAACAGCTTCAGCAGGTATCTGTAACTTATAATCGAAGTATTAGATTTCTTTCTTTAGATTGTCAGATATACATTTTGATCGTCAAACACTTTGTGCAGCAGTCAATAGGACGTGCACGCGCGGCGCACACACAAAAGGTAAGGTAGGTAGTCTTATTAGTCTTTAAAATGTAATGTGTGCATGAAGAATGGGTCAAGATTTTTTTGTTGTTATTATAGAGATTCTTTAGTCACCTCTTTTTATCTATTCTCACAAAAATCATGTTGTTAAGTAAATGCTATTTATTAAAACAATATTAGAGCTGAGCTTGCTAACCATGTCTGAGATGAGTCAGCAAGGAAAGAAGAGGGTGCGTGGCATTGTGATTTTTAATTTTAATTAGCAAAAAATATTCACCTTATTTAAAAAAAAAAAACATTTTATTTAAAGTTTATTCCTTGTATCATGACACATACATGGATTTCTCTGGGTTAAGCCCCAGATATCCACTCACCCTAGAACCGCTCCTGATCGCGGATGCAAAATATATTTATAGAAAATTTGAAAGGTAATTGCCAGATGTTTTACTGCGTCACATGGCAACCAACAATTTATTAAATGTTACAAAATATTATAACTCAAAGTTTTCCTCTGACTGCAGTCACAGCTGTAGAAATAAGTTGCAGCAGTGTAATTCACACAATTCACCACAGGAGGGCGACTGGCTAAGTTGTCTTGTTTTAAAGTTTTAGTGCTTAGCTTTTTGTGTTCAAAATGTTCAAAGGTTTATATAATGAGCGGGTACATGTATCAGTTTTCCAAATCGTGCTTTGTCTTATCCTGAATCATTGTGGTACACCTATAATAAGTGTTTATATTCGGACTATTTTATACTGGTTCTGGTCTTACCGCTGCGGAGTAGCACAGGACCTGCGTGACTCGTCATTCATGTTTGGTTCAATATTAAATTATACTCTAACTTAACGTTACCTTTGGCTCGTGGAGAGAATAATATTCGTTTGAACTTTTTTCATTTCACGTGAACACACACCAGAATTCTTGCAGAGTCGATTTATCTATTTCGCTGACTCACATCTTTAAATGTTTATGGGTAAAATGACAGCAGTGTAATTCACACAGTTCACCACAGGAGGGCGTCCAGATAAAAACAAATGTTCGTCTTAACCCTAAAACCGTATTCTGGACAAATGTTGGCAAAATATTTTTGATTTATTTTTAAAAATACTTCCCTTGATCTGAGCGGTACAAGACTTGGCTGCTTTTCCTAAGTTTGCCTCCTGAACACACACAATATATATATATATATATATTTTTTGACTCAATTCTACAATGTTAAGTGGGTGGAAAAAAACCTTCTTAATCTTGTATTTGGGTCAAAAATGGGCACCCATAGAAATGAATGGGGAAAAACTGTAATTTAGAGCATTCTAAAATAAGCCAAAATAAGACACCGGGTGACAGCAAAGTCACTTCATCTTTAGGTTTTACATTTGCCAACAAATACTACATCGTGGATTAAAGTCCATATTTTGTTACATTCAACACAAAATAACATTAAAACGTGCTCGCTTCATTTTTTATTCTGTTGCGCTTATATTTTTTTTCTGTTATTAAAACGTCTGAATCAACGGGGCTTTATACGAATAATTCTTAATCAAGCTAGTTTTCCTCTAGAGTTACTGCTGTAGAAAAAATGTTTCAGTGGTGTAATTAATATATTTTACCACAGGTTTCGTTTTCAATTCAAATTTAAAAGTACGTACAATTATTATACCATAAATAAAAGGGGTCATATGTTTCATGTGGTAACGAACGATTTATTTAACACGAAATCAATGTAAAATAATGTAATGCAAAGTTTTCCTTTGACTTGAATTAACTAGAAGTAGGTAGACATTTTTAGGTAGAAATAATTAACAGGAGTGTAATTCACATGAATTCACCACAGTTCGATCAAGACATTGGACTTTTTAAAATTACATAATGTATTTGTTTATTTTAACAAATCGGGAGGCAGTATACAATACACAGAGAATGATACAATCAATTTTTCATAATTGTCCCTTAGTTTATACATCCAACAATATATTTCATTTTAAAACTACATGTTTGCCAGAGGTTTTCAATTATTTATCAAAGGATTTTAATCAATGCAAATAATTTAATAAAAGGTTTTAACAGAAATGAGATAATTAGCAGTGTAATGCACACAATTCACCACAGGAGGGCGTTTAGACGTGAGTCTTTAAATTGATATTACAGAAATATTTCCATTAAACAAAAGCGAACTTTTCTAGATTTTTTTTACTATGTCGCTTTAAATTAATAATTTATCAAACAATGTGAAATAAATGCAAAGTAAGTGCAGAGTTTAGTGCAGTTTTCCTCTGGCGCTCTGAATACGGTTCAGCAGTGTAATTCACACAGTTCACCACAGGAGGGCGATTAAACTCCATTTTCAACAGAATATCGCAGACAGGGGGTAGTACCCCAGAGTGCACGCTGGACGATGGGGCGGGGCGACACTTTTGGGCGGAGCGACACGTGTCGCCCCGCCCAACTTAACGTTTATTGGTTTATAATAAAGATGATCTTATTGGTGCAGAGAAGTGTGACGCTATTACAGATCATTGGTGCAGAGAAGTGTGACGCTTTGGGCAGGCTGGGAATGCGGAAGAACACAACAGACGAATAAACTTGTTGATTTTGCGGTCATTAATGCGATTCCACAATATTCCATTGAAGTAGAAGAGAATAGAAATAATGGTCTAATTCACAATCACTCCCTCAACAGCTGTAGTAAGTTAGATGGTTCGTTACCTCTGAATTAGGTTTTTTTGTAAGTTAATGACATCTCTCTCCCTCTCTCTCTCTACATACATACATATATATATATATAGAGAGAGAGAGAGAGAGAGAGAGAGCGCAAATGTCACCGGACAAGTCACTAGTCTCACCTGATAGTAACCACAAGTTTCCGTTAGATCCTAAGAACTTTTTTTTTTTAACTACATTTACGGCTGTCAAACTTCACTGATCATACGGGATTATAGCTCCAAAAAGTCATGGTAATCACAAATTAACTATGGTAATTATAGTATTTGTGCGTTTACAAAAATGTAATCAATAATTATGGTTGTTCTATAATAAACTTATAAGGGAGTATCTATACATGCTCTTAAGAACACAACAAAACAAAGACTGACACTTTTTCTTTATTATGGGCTCCAAACATTCCCATGTACAAGTTGAGTTTCACAGAAATTCATTTCCTGCAGCAAAGAAACAGTCCTGCGAGCAAAATCCTGTACAAACATCTTCGGAGTAAAAGCCCAGCAGTTCCCCTCGTTTTCCTCTTCCCCTGTACCCTGGTGGATAGGACTTGAAAAGCTCCAAGCATTCCGAGCATTCCCTGATGCTGTAGATCCGTCGAAACTCTTCACGGTAGTCCAGAGAAAATTTTTTCCAGTTGACCACACCTTAAAATGTAAAGACAAAATACAGAAAAGGTATAAGTGTGGAGATTCAAGTTTAAATGTCACATAACACAAATTTCAATCCAAGAAATGTGCATTGAACAGGAAAAAAACATCTTACTGTCTAGCCAGGCAAAGTGTGCTGCTTTCCGGAAAAATTCATCTGTGACCACATCCCTAAACCATCTGCATACTAGTGAAAGTGTCAAATATGCAGAATCACCAGTTGCTAAAACAACTTCCTTGAGGATCTCGGAAATTATTTCATGGGGAAGCTGTTGAAACAAAAAACATGATTATTTATACTTGTATATAAATGTTGTTGAAAAAAATATAAACCTTGGTTCAGACAAACCTGATATACTGTTGTCATAACTGCATGCTCTGAATAAAATAATAAATAAATAGATTAATATTCTCTTATAAAGATAATATTAAAATAAATATCGCTCCAACACACATTAGCCGCTTTCCCCACTGTCGGGCCAGTGTGAGCCAGGGCTTTCAAGGGTCGGGCGGTGTTAATAGCCTTGGACCTGTATCACCAAGCACAAAATCACACTGTGTTTCCACCGTTAGGACAGAAGCTCTGCAGCGCTTCACTAAAGCCCTCCCTTAACATGCCTGTCTTGAACAATGACAAATAACTCCATTGTTTCACCAACAAATGGAAGTTTTACCAGAAAACTATTCAAAGAAATTGCTTACTTAATGAATGTGTGTACAATAAATTAGCTGCTTTGTCTGAATCTCCCCGAAGACATTGCCTTTTGTAAGGTTGAGCGCTAAAAAAAAAAAAAAAAAAATGACAAGAGGTAGACATTGGTAGATATAGTACATGTAAAAACTAATGTTTATGTAGGAACATGCAAACAGCTACATACATTTGCAGAGTGAAGTTGTCCAGTAAGAAAGCACACCACCACCTCCTGATCAGGGGCATGTTATCCTGAATTTAAAAAATAATAATAATATTAATAAACAATTATGGATGTCTGTTTATTTAACGTGAAATATGTAATGAGGTAATGACATACCTCTGAAAAATCAAATCGGAGCCCCAAAGCCATGTATAGAGTGTACTGTTACAATTCACAAAGTGCAAGAAAATGAGCAGGGTATAACTTACAATAATTAACTACAATAACAATTAAAATTTAACCTACCATCAGTATGTAGATTCCACAGTTGTTCCCACCTGCCTGCTTGGGTATTCCCTGTGGTTTGGATTAAAACAAGTACATACATTTACCTTCACAGATTTTCTTTCATCAGCACACATTGTGTAATGAAATAGACTTTTGTTTGCATTTAAATGAAATGTTTCACTTCAAATTTAATCGCAGTTTTCTCTGTCCACTCTCGGTTGTCAATGAGTTCCCTATCGAGGGAACTCAACACTGCGTCGATAAAATCGACTCTTTGGGGACGCTCCCTAAGCGTGCGCCTCTGAAGTATGAATGAAACTAATCCAATCCTGATTGGTGTTGCGTCGTGACGTAACATGTGACGGCATACCCGGAAGTATAAAAGTGACGCTGTCACAACACACACTAGCTTTCGCTCTTCAGCAAGCGCTTTATGTTGAAACTGTCTGTCTTATTTGGTGTTGTTTGTCTTATTATTGAAAGAAAGTATGGCCAGTGAACAATTCAAGAGGTGTGTGCGTCCCTGCCCTCGTTTCATCACGGGTGGGGACGCACACTCTCTCTGTGTGTATTGTTTGGGAGTGCAGCACGCACGGGCAGCTCTCGAGGGGGCTGCTTGTGAAATGTGTGAGGCTTTGCCTATTAGAGTGCTGCGCTCCCGGCTGGCGTGCTTTGACGAGCACGGTCAGGCTCGCGTTCCCCAGGGTTCCGGTCCCGCATATGTCGAGGCGATGCGGCGACTGAGATCCTGGGGTTCGCAGCGGGATCTGGCGGAGGAGAGTGAGAATGCTGAGGCATTTTCTCGCTCGCCATCGGCTGGTCCCGCAGCCTCTGAGAGTGGTGTGGGAGCCCGCGCTGCGGTTTCTCCTACCCGCGATCAGGTCCCGGTGCTTGAGCTGTCTACTTCTGAGGAAGGGGACGTGCTCAGCATCGATGCGGACGACCGTGATCTCAGCACGCCATCACGCGGCCTGGGTTATGAGGAGCTGGTGGAGGTTGTGACACGCGCTGTGGCCAGACTAAACATCAGCTGGCCACAACATGAGCAGGAAACGCAAGTCACCAGTAAAATGGACGAGCGTTACCTGCAGCGCAGGTCACAGCCTCACCGCCGGGGTCTGCCGTTTTTCCCTGATCTCCATAAAGAGATCTCGAGAACGTGGGAAAGACCGCATTCGTCCCGTATTTCGAGTCCCAATGTAATAGATTACAGCAATGTTATGGGGGCTCGAGATATGGGATATGGGAAGATGCCGAAGGTGGAGGAGGCTTTAGCGAGCTATCTCTCTCCCGAATCGGCGTCTTCCCTAAAGACCCCGGTGTTGCCTAGTAAGCCCTGCAGAGAGACATCTGCATTGGTGGGCAGGGCTTACATGGCGGCGGGTCGGGCTGGTTCGTGTCTGCACTCAATGGCGATTTTGCAGGCATACCAGGCCGACCTCCTGAAAGATTTGGATGAGGGGGAGGGGCCTACTCCTGAAGATGTCGCGGAGTTGAGGAAGGCCGCAGATTTGTCTCTCCGGGCCACTAGGGAAGCGGCCAGCGCTATTGGCCGCTCTATGGCGGCCATGGTGGCCACGGAGAGGCATCTGTGGCTGAACTTATCTGGTATTAAAGAAAAGGATAGGTCCTTCCTGCTGGATGCGCCGCTTTCGGCTTCTGGCCTGTTCGGCGACGCCGTTAATTCGGTTGTCGACAGGTTTCAGGAGTCGAGAAAACAATCTGCGGCGTTCCAGCAGTACCTCCCCCGGAAAGCGAAGGCCAAATCTAGTAGGGGGGGCAAAGCAATCAGCCCCAGCCATCAGCCAGCTCCTCCCACAGGGCAGAGCAGAAGGAGAGCGTTTCCTCTAGAGCCCCCCCTCCGGGGTCTTGGCAACAGAGGAAACGCTCCCAAAAACCGAAGTCCTCCAGCCAGAGGGGCGACCTGAGGGACGTCATTCAGGCTAAGAGGACTTCGGAAAAGAGGTCCTAGCCAAGGCAGGACTTCAGAGGGCTGCCCCCTCCGCAGTGAGACAACCGAGGTTGTTCTCACAACGGGGCCCTCTAGGAAAAGATGCAGGTCCGCCGTTAACAGCGCTTCGGGCCGCATCGATTTCCAGCGAAAAGACACCAGAGGCCAGCCTCGAGAGGCTGGTACCCTTAGCAGATTTTGTAGAGGGATGGTATCATCTTCCCAACATATCTCCATGGGTCCTGCAGATAATACGAGTTGGGTACAGACTGCAGTTCGCGCACCGCCCCCCCAAGTTCTCTGGGGTGGTGCTCACTGCGGTGGTCCCAGAGCAGGCTCAGGTGTTGGAACAAGAAGTACAGACTTTGCTGTCGAAAGGAGCCATAGAACGTGTTCTTCCGGTAGACAGGGAGTCCGGGTTTTACAGCCGGTACTTTATAGTTCCAAAGAAGGATGGGGGGTTAAGGCCAATTTTGGATCTCAGGGTGTTGAACCGGTCTCTGAGAAGGTTCAAATTCAGAATGTTGACCATTCCAACAATCGTGAGTCAAATCAGATCCGAGGACTGGTTTGTCACGATAGATCTGAAAGACGCCTATTTTCACATCTCCATCCTTCCTTGTCACAGGAGGTACCTGAGGTTCGCTTTCGGGGGCGAAGCATACCAATATCGGGTTCTTCCGTTCGGCCTAGCACTCTCTCCCCGCACATTTACCAAGTGTATGGACGTGGCCCTTGCTCCACTGAGACTTCAGGGGATTCGCGTATTGAATTATCTCGACGACTGGCTTATTTTGGCCCAGTCTCAGGAGATGGCAGTTCGGCATCGAGATGTCGTTCTTGGCCATATTCAAAAATTGGGGTTAAGACTCAATTTGAAGAAGAGTGTGCTAGAACCGTCCCAGGGCACGACCTTTTTGGGAGTCGTGTGGAACTCGATTACAATGCAGGCACGTATGTCTCCCGCACGTATCGAGTCAATTCTGGCGATGGTGTCCAGGGTGAGGCTAGGTCAGGCCGTCACTGTGAAACACTTTCAAAGGATGCTGGGCCTCATGGCAGCGGCATCCAACATTATTCCTCTGGGCCTCCTTCACATGAGGCCCCTCCAGTGGTGGTTGAAGACCAAGGGGTTCTCACCCAAAGGGAATCCGTTCCGTATGATCAGAGTAACGCGCAAGTGCCTTCAGTCTCTGCAAATATGGAAGAAGCCTTGGTTCCTATCCCAAGGGCCAGTGTTGGGGGTGTCATGTCGCCGGGAAACCGTTTCGACAGACGCCTCCCTTACGGGCTGGGGCGCGGTCATGGACGGCCGCTTTACCAGGGGTCTGTGGCAGGACCATCATCGCACTTGGCATATAAATTGCCTGGAGATGATGGCGGTATTCAAGGCTTTGAGGAGCTTCCTCCCAGACATCGAGGGTCGCCACGTCCTTATACGGACAGACAATACGTCAGTGGTGGCCTATCTGAACCGACAGGGGGGACTCAGATCGCGCCCTCTGTGCAAACTGGCGCATCAGATTATCCTTTGGTCCCAGGGAAAGATATTGTCAATAAGGGCAATGTATATCCCAGGGGTTCAGAATCGGGGAGCAGACATCCTGTCGAGGCAGGGGCTGAGGCCCGGGGAATGGAGACTTCATCCGGATGTGGTGAAGTCGATATGGGAGAGGTTCGGACCGATGGAAGTGGATCTGTTTGCGTCTCGAGAGACGTCCCACTGTCCACTTTGGTTCTCCCTCTCACATCCAGCCCCGCTGGGGTTGGATGCCATGGTACAGGCTTGGCCGAGGCTTCGCCTGTATGCTTTCCCCCCGATCGCTCTGCTCCCAGGGGTCCTGGAGAGGGTCCGTCAAGAGGGCATCAGTCTACTTCTGGTTGCCCCGAGATGGCCGACACGAGTATGGTTCTCGGATATAATATCACTCCTCATAGCTCCGCCATGGCCGATTCCTCTGAGGAGGGATCTATTGTCTCAGGCGGAGGGCACAATCTTCCACCCTCGCCCAGAGTTGTGGAAGCTGTGGGTCTGGCCTCTGAGGGGGTTCAGTACCTAAATGCTGGCTTATCAGCTGAGGTGGTTGAAACCATACTTAGCTCTAGGGCCCCATCTACCAGGAGATTATATGGCCTCAAGTGGAAGGTGTTTCACACTTGGTGTGGAGAACGAAGGTTGGATCCAGTAAACTGCCCAGTGGCTTCAGTTCTGGAATTCCTTCAGGATCGTTTCTCTGCGGGTCTCTCCCCGTCCACTCTTAAGGTGTACGTGGCTGCCGTTTCGGCTTTCCACGCGCCAGTAGATGGTGGACCTCTGGGGAGGCACCAGTTGGTCATTAGGTTTCTCCGTGGTGCTTGGAGGATGAGGCCGGCGATCAGGTCCAGGGTGCCTGCCTGGGATCTGGCAATAGTTCTGGAAGGGTTGTCGCTCGCTCCCTTCGAACCTTTAGAGTCGGCTTCGCCTAAGGACTTAACGTTGAAAATGGTCTTTCTCTTAGCGATTACCTCTCTTAAGAGGGTGGGAGATCTCCAGGCCCTGGCGGTAACGCCAGCTTGCTTGGAGTTTGCCCCTGGCAAAGTAAAGGCCTTTTTGCACCCGAGTCCGGGCTACGTGCCTAAAGTTCCTTCGAGTACGGCTCGCTCTGTAGTCCTTCAGGCATTCCATCCTCCACCTCATGTGTCGGCGGGAGAAGAGAGGCTTCACTTGCTCTGCCCCGTCAGAGCTTTGAGTGTATACTTGGAAAAGTCTGCTTCTTGGAGAAGATCTGACCAGTTGTTAGTATGCTTTGGGTCACCTAAGAGGGGGCTCCCGGCGACCAAACAAACTATAAGTAACTGGATTGTCCAGGCTATTACTGAGGCTTACAAGGTGCGTGGGGTTCCTTCACCTTTGGCCTTAAGGGCTCACTCGACTAGAGGCATGGCTTCCTCTAGGGCCCTTCTGTCGGGAGTACCTCTGCAGGAGATTTGTGAGGCAGCCGGCTGGGCTACCCCGCATACTTTCATCAGGTTTTACAGTCTCAGCCTTCCCAGTACGCCCGGTGCACACGTACTCGGCCCTTGCTGAGTGCCTAATCAGTTTCACTCTGGGGCGGGTCTGTTCGGTGCGTGGCCTAGTGGGTACTCGTTCCCCAAAGAGTCGATTTTATCGACGCAGTGTTGAGTTCCCTCGATAGGGAACGTCTCGGGTTATGACTATAACCCTTGTTCCCTGAGAAGGGAACGAGACACTGCGTCGTGTTGCCACGCCCCCTTTTCAGACCCTTGAGCGTCTTGCTTC